AGAGGGACGGCTTAGCCACTAAAGGCTGGGCTCACAACCCAAAATATAAGAGTTTGGTTCCTAACACTCACGGCTGTCCTTCCAGGTTTTAAAAAGAAAATAATATTAAAATAAACTTTAAAGAAAAAGAAAAATCAAAAGACTGAATATCAAGGAAACAAATCCTTACTCCATTTCAGAGCTTTCATAGGGTTAATGTCCATGATGGGTGCCTGATTCGGGAGCCCAAACAGCAGGAGAGAGATGGCAGCTTCATATTGAGGCCTTTTGTCCAGGTTTTCTCCAAGCTAGAAGGTTCCTGCATGCAGAGAGCTTGCCTTCCGCTAGCCAATCCGCCTTTACTTCAGTCCCATTAGAATCCCTTACCGCCCCCTATTCAAGTCATCATGTGGTTCCATGCCCTGACTGATACAGACATCCATTTAGTTTCATCTCTACAAGTAACTAAACATTTAATGCTTACCAGTCCCCTTCTAACATAGTCCACTGGCCAGTGAGTTTACTGAGTTTCAACCTAGAACCAATTCTTCAGAAAGATCTGGTGCTTTTTAAAAAGTGCTAATGGGACTGGAGAGAGCTGTCTCTGAAGTTTAGAGCACTCAGTGCTCTCACAGAGAACCCAGGTACAATTCTCAGCACTCACAGAGTGTCCTTCCTGACTCTGTTCCAAAGTATCTGATGCCCAGTTCTGACCTCTATGGACCCCAGGCATACATGTGGTGCCCAGACACACATGCAAGTAAAATAGTCATATACATACTATTTTATTTTATTTTATGTGCGCATGCCTGCATATATGTCTGTTTACTCATGTGTGCAATGCCCAAAGAGGACAGAAGAGAGCATCAGATCCACTGGAACCGAAGTTACAGACGATCATGAGCCACATTGTGGGTGTGGGGAATTGGACCTGGGTTCTCTGCGTTCTTAACTACAGAGTCATCTCTCCAGCCCCCAGAATATTTTTATATAAGTAAATATTTAAGTCACATGACAATCCAGTTTTCTTTCTCTCATAATTATTTACTATTTTTTGCCTCTGATTATCTTTTTAAATGGAAATCTAGGTCTTTTACTAGAGTACACATATCATTCTTCATTCTCAGTGTTCCCAGGAAATGCCTTATACTGTATGTATATTGCATATACATACAACCAGTAATATATGTGAAACCTCACTGTATATATGTGTGTGTGTGTGTGTGGTGTGTGTGTGTGTGTATACATATACATGTATTATGTATTCAAGAAAAGTTCTTCTTGGTTATACTGTATTATATTTATTCTTTTATCTATTGTGGTTTCTGACTCATTGTCTCAGTCTTCATGAGGGATAGTTTTTAGCTGTATTTGCTTTCATTTCTTTCAAGTATTTACATGTTTTTTCTTTCACTTATGTGTTTATGTGTCAATGCTTTGTGCAAGCAATTGTGCACACACACGGAGAGCATCATATGTCCTCCTCTGCTATGCTCTGCCTTAATCCTTTGAGGCAGGATCTCTCTCTGAGCTTGGAACTTGTGTTTTGGGAGGCTAGGCTGGAAGTCAGCAAATCCTCTTTCTCTATCCCCCTCAGAAATGGATCACAGATTTGCACAGAACAACACTCTGCTTATTTTACGGCTGCTGGATCCAAACTCCAGCCCTTATGCCTGAGCAGCAAGCTCTTTTAATGGATGAGCTACCTCTCCGGCCCCTCTGCATTTCTTTTGACTTAAGGTATTTCATATTTGATTTCTGTTCAATCTCTTGATTTATACTTGCTACATTTCCTCTGGTTTTCTGAAATAATATTTACTTGTTTCTACTTCTCTGATTATGTTGCTTCATTTCTGAGGGGTTTTTATTCTTTGCTGTCTTATATTGTTTTCTTAATATCTTTACTGTGTCACATACTATGGGACCATGGCTATTCAAAACAAAGTCTGTATCCCGAATAATCATATTTCACCCTCACTCCAGGTCTTTTCCCCTGCACTCCTGCTTTTCCTGCCTCCCCACTCTAACTCATAATGATTATTTATTTAAACATTAAAATGTCTTAGTAGCTGGCTTGCAGAGATGGCTCAGTGGGTAGAAGCAATTGCTGCCCATACCTGGCAACCCTGAAACCCATGTAAAGATAGAAAGAGAAAAACAGACTCCACAAGTTGCATTGTAGAATGCGCACTTCCACACACATGTATCCTAGATACACGATAATAATTATTATAATAAATAAATGCAGTTAGAAAATACAAATAATTTGCCTAGTATGCCATGAGATACTGAATCTCTGAGATAAAAACAACAACAATAAAATCTTTCTTCCAAATGGATTTTGAAACCAAGTGGTCAGACATATATGCCCTTGCATTTGTCCCGCATACAGCCTTGGAGCAGGCTAGAAAGACAAAGTTAAGGGAACATATAAAAGGAAGACAGTCCCTCTTCTCCCTTACCTAAATTGTCATGTCTCTTGCTGACGGAGACAAAAGTGTTGATCTATATGTCTGGGGACTTCCTTATATAGAAAGTGTATACAGAAAATTATATTCTCTCCATAAAACTATGATTATTAGCTAACTAACTATACTCAGAGTTTAAAAAGAAGCAGTTTAATCTCTTTTTCTGGAAGGTCAATGAGGCCCACACATATTACACATAACAGGTAAAGGTCAATCACTAAGCTATGTCCTAAATCTTTTTTTCTTTCCTTTTCTTTCTATTTGTGTGTGTGTGTGTGTGTGTGTGAGAGAGAGAGAGAGAGAGAGAGAGAGAGAGAGAGAGAGAAAGAGAGAGAGAGAGAGAGAGAGAGAGAGAGAGAGAGACTATCTGCAAGTTGCCTAGGCTGGCCTTGTGATCAGATTCTTGGGTAGCTGGGAGTACATACCTGCACTATCAGGCCTGGAATGATCTATGATCTTGTCTTAATTATATTTCTTTCTCATATGTAAGCCTGCTAGTACAGTCATACACCATCTTAAATTTTCACTTTCATATAAAGCATCTTTCCATAAGAAAATGAATATAGCCATACATTTTTCCTCTCAACCTTGTAGATCACATCCTCTAATGAGGTAATGGCCAACTCCCCAACTCACTCACACAGCTGCTGCTGCAGAGGCTAGTAGGCGCATTCACCTTTTAGTAGCCACACTTGCTTCCCACTGCCTGGGTTCTTTCTTCTATAAATTAACTTTGATGCACTCTGACTCACTTTGAGATTCTTTTTCTGCAGCATAGTTGAAGAATCTGAGTTGTACCTATGTAAAGCCCTCTGAGACTCTGAAGGGAATGCCTCAGGTTGCACAGTTGATGATGGATGTTGAGTTGTTTCCTGCTACTAGTGATGGTCTTAAGTAGGTTTTCAAGTGTTTCATGGAAAGCTTTCCCTTGAAGCAGATTGTTAGTTTCTTAAGGGCAAAAGATAAGCCTTTCCTGTTTCCCAGAGTAACTACAGGACTGATTCTGGGCATCGTTTCTTTAGTTGTTACTATTGCTGTGATGAAACACCATGACCAAAAGCAAGTTTGAGAGGAAAGGGTTTATTTGGCTTACAATTCCTCATTGTTGTCCATCACTGCGGGAAGACAGGACAGGAACTCAAACAGGGAAGGAACTTGGAGGCTTGGAGCTAATGCAAATCCCATAGAATGGTGCTGCTGGCTTCTCTCCATACCTGCGTTTTTATACAACCCAGGACTACCAGGGTGGGTGTGGTGGCACCATCCACAATGGGCTGTGCCCTTCCACATCAATTACCAAATAAGATAATACTCTACAGGCCAGTCTTAAGGAGGCATTTTCTCAGCTGAGGCCCCCTCCTCTCAAATGCCTCTAGCCTTTATGGAGCTGACATTAGCTAGCCGGATCACCATCAAGTATTCTCACATATTTGGCTCTTGTAGATTTCTTGTATGACCCTGGGGATATAAAGTCACACTGCTACTCCTAACAAGCTTACAAATTTAACACAGAAAAGTGTATTAAGATAAAAGTATGTGAGATGTTGCGTATAGAAGAAAAGACGAAATCATACACGGACTAAGGTATTAAGCAAGAAAAAGGCGCTGTGCTTGGAAGTCGGGGCCCGCTTGGAAATTCTGGTAATTCGGTTGCAGTTCCAAGAGGGACAACCCCGTCCTAACCCTACAGGAGCCTCTCTAAGGCGTTGGTGATGGAATTGTCAAGAGGAATGAATGACGCCGAAGGTCTTACAGATGTAGCCTAATTAGGTACGTTCACAGAGTCCTGCGCGTACGCAGGATCGAACACGTTTTGTTGTGCCGCGATGTGTTATGTTAACGAAGACGTCACAGTTTATGACTAAAACACACAACAGACCGAACAAAACGCCGTTGCATAACCGGGAACCAACTTCCGCAGCAGTCCCACCGCCCGCCCAGCTCCCCCCGCGACGCGCCGGAGGGGAGGGGTTTCCGCTTCCGGCGGCGGATTGTTGACGCCCGCTCGCCCGCCGCTGTGGTGGCTCCCGAGCGGTTGGGGAGGGGCAGCCGAGGGAGGGCGACGGCACAGTGACAGGCAGCGCGGAGAGTGCCTGCGAGGCGACGATGGCAGAGGGGCCCGAAGAAGCCCGGAGCCGTCCCCCCGG